AGAGCCTTCATTGAGCACTCTTAGTGATGCGACTTAAAGATATGGAATGTAACCGTGAGAAACGGTAGATTGTTGCTCAAGTTGACTCGTCTCGACGGACTTGCTTGAAGAGAAGGCCTGATTTTTGTAGTATCCACAGACAAATATTTTACCACCACATTCAGAGATAAAGATGAGGTCGACATTGCAAGATGCACCCAGTGAAGATTCATTGCAATCGTCGAGCATTCTCAATTCGCGACAAGGGCTAGGACCCTTTGGAAGAGGTCACTTCCGGTTTGATAGAACCCGACCTCGACATTCGTGAATTGAATAAAATGCCTGCCACAACCAAGAGCGTGCACGTCATGAAGCCGTTGCTGTTCACATTGCACACTTGCATTTGCCATTAAAATCCACTATGCTACTTACAGATTTGTGAGTAGGCTTATAAAGGAATATAATTTGGGCTTCGGGGAATCTCTTGTTTCATAATTGTTGAGCTTACTTCCATTTCGAGTGAAAGTGTGCAGTGAAGAGATTCGCAGGTCGGTTCCACCAGAAGACGACGGCGTATTCCTCTTTACCAGCTGACGATTGGCTTTACTGGAAAATTTAGTCTCATTCGGTTCCGGTGAAAAGGTGCTAAGCTTTCGTCCGTCACGTGACGGACATTATCAAAGCGAGGAATCATCTTCACAACAAAATTCAAGCTAACAAGTCAAGAAAACTCACCGGCAAAGCCCTAAAAAGTGGTATATATACTCTACATCTTGATCAAGTATAAGGTGATTTGGTTATTTAAGGTCATGTGTCAACTTCGATGCATGTAAGTGTGTCTGTCTCTGGATGTGTTCGCCTGTGCACGCAAAAGGAAACGTCTCTTTTTGGCCATCAAGGTTTGATGACCTCCGAATCTCTTCATCCAACACGTTCACCCGAAATGGAAGTCATTATTGTTGAGCTCATTTGGAGTTTATGTGAAATCGTGCAATGAAGATGAGTAAAGACGACGTAGGATTCCGCTTGGCCAGCCGTCAATCGGCATTAATCTGGAAAATTCTTGTCAACACTGTCCCTTCGAGTTCAATGAATCGGTGCAAATCATTCTTTCGACCAATTTCCAGCTGCATATATGCCATAAATCTATGCATTTTTAGGAGGCCTTTAAGTGATTTGGCCAATTTAAAAGCTGGTAAGCAATTGTCCTTCACTATTTACATTAATAACTTGTTATTATTATTATTATTATCCATTCGGTGAGTTAAGAAGAGGAAACTGTTGCGTCTACTTTTCTTCAGCATGTCACCAGATTGCAAAATAGTCATTCACACGCCTAGGTTTCCGGGTCGCCTAATGTGTGGTATGGGTGATAGGAGGGTGTGAAAGTGTGATATGAAACAGTGTGTACCAATGTAGCCACCAGTCTCGACTCAGCCAACGACAAATTGTCGCTTTGGGCAAATTTTCCCATCCCTCCGGTGCCGTCGTGTGCGACGGACGACGACTAAACTGGCGGCTCGAGGTCAACTTTGACAACCATTTTGCCCGAATCGGAGGACCAACGGACGAGCGATGCGACTGCATTTCCCATATTTTCTGTCGGTTTCCGCTTCAGTCCGTCCAGACGCCATTCTTCGCCCATCGCAACCGGACGCCACGAGTGGCCTTGCCACTCCCGTCGCCGGCTACAGCCCCGACAAGTTGCCGGGCGACGGACGCACCACAGACGGCGATGATGGCAACATCGTCGGAAGCGACGGTGGAGCCAAATTGCGCGCGGCCGATACAATTTGGACGTCTCGTGGGACAGTCGGAGCCGGCGACGGAAGAGGCGAGTTGCGAAGTGCCGTCGAATGGAAGTTCTTCCAGTTGGATGTGGACCACGACCATCGACTGTCAACTTGGGAGTTTCGTCCTCTGCGAAGGCAGCTGTCGAGTGGTTGGGTCGACCGGCCGACCAACCGATTGACGAGCAGACATCAATTCGGTGCCGATGTGGTCGTCAATGCCGACGGCCTGTTGGTACCATTGGATCCGGACGGCTGCCGGAGGCGGCTGTTTCGACGATGCGATCTGGATCGCAGCGACTGGCTGGACCGAGACGAATGGTCCGCCTGCATCATTCGCGGTGAGCAGATTGACTCTGTTCTCCTCTTCCCTGAACGGATGATGCCATTGCATTATAAACGGCAACTGGATTATAAAACCGAATAATGCTACACACACACACACACACATATACACATACACACACATTCATACAAACATGTGTATGCACCAACGGTGCCAGAGGGTCATAAGGCATAGTTGACTTTCGAGGCATTTAGGAAATCACATTTGTTGCCACATTGTCGGTGACGCAATATATTATAATATAATACTACTTATTTGCTTTGTGAGTAGACCATGTCTATCTCATTGACAATGGTACCGTGAAAATGTGAGTTAGGCGAGGCCAGGCTTGTCGCCAGAGTGACATTCGCCATGAATTGTATGAATGTGTGGCGGAGTGGTTATGTGTTGTCGCGAGGTCAGCACGAAGTGAACTTGCGTTGCGTCACAAGTGACCGGACGAGAAAGCCAATTGAAAGGAAAAGTGACATGAATTTGCATTTCAACAGAAAGTCGATTGGTAGGAATTGGTGAAATGGTCTCGCCGGCAACCGAGGCAGGATTGTTGGATTGTGCGAAGAAGTCAACGGCTTCGGTATCGCGCGACGCTGAGCCGACAACGCGAATTACTTTCGACCAACTTTTCCTTCGAAATGTTCATGTCTGATGAATCCTCCATTCGGACGCAATGTTTAGCCAACATTGATGCCATTCTGAAGCCTATTGGTAGCATTT